TTTTTTTTTTTTTTTTTTTTTTACCACTTGTTCCTTCTTTTACTGTGGAAGGCTATTAACTGATATTAATTGATTAATTACAGGACTGGTTTGGGGACTGTATAATTGAGATCTTGGTTGATATTGTGAAGATTCTGGAGGAAAAGAACATCTTACACATCAGTACTTCTTGTTTTTGCCAATGTGAAGCAGTCATTCACTCTTTTGTGGTGTCCACTTAATTAAAGCAACTTCAGTCTGGTTTTAAGAGACGGCGTTTTTGATGGAGTGCAACAAAGAAGAGGCCATCAGGGCCAAGGAAATTGCACAGAAGAGGATGATGAGCAAGGATTTCCCTGGGGCTCTCAAAATTGTACTGAGGGCCCAACAGCTATATCATGATCTGGATAACATATCTCAGATGCTAATGGTCTGTGAAGTGCATTGTACTGCTGAAAAAAGGATTTTTGGGAATGAGATGGACTGGTATGGCATACTTCAAATTGGGCAGACTGCAGATGAGGCTGCAATCAAGAAGCAGTATAGGAAGTTTGCTTTCCAGCTCCATCCTGATAAGAATAAATTTCCTGGTGCAGAAGCTGCTTTTAAGCTAATTGGGGAAGCTCATAGAGTGCTTTTGGACCAAAGTAAAAGGTCTGCATATGACATGAAATGCAGAGTAACTCTAGGTAGACCAGCACCAACAGCAGCAGCTCGGCAGCCACAGAGGCCAAGTTGGAACCCACATGTTTCTGCACGGACTAATTTCTGCACCAACTTTCCAAATTCAATTCCTCAACAAAAGAAGCCAGCACAGCAATCTCAACAAGCACAGACCAATGGCCGGCCAACTTTCTGGACCAAGTGTCCATATTGCACAGTCAAATACAAGAATTATACAGACATTCTCCATAGCACTCTTCGATGTCAAACTTGTGATAAGTCCTTCACTGCATATGATTTGGGTGCAGCTCCTCAGCCAACTGACCCAAGTCAACCAAAAGTTCCCAAACAGAAAGATGTCCAGAATCAGGGTGCTCAGAATGTGAAACAAGGATTTCATGAGAATTTATGCACTGAGAATTCCAAAGCAACATCTTCTTCAAAGGTGGCTCATGATTCGCAAGTTGGAATTGAAAATGCAAATGGTAAGAGAGGAAAGCGATCTGTGGCATCCAGTGAAAGTTGTCATACACAAAGCAGTAGTCGCTCAGAAGATGATATTCTGATTGATGAGAGAAGTAATGTTCAGGCTGGAAAGGATGTTAAATGTCCTAGAGAGAACCTTCGTAGATCTGGTAGGCATAAGCAAGAGGTTTCATACAGAGAAAATTTAAGTGATGATGAAGACTTGGTTAACCCGCCAAAGAGGGCGAAGGGGAGCAGTTCATCCAATGCAACTGAAGAAGATGGAAACACACACAGAGAAGAGACACTCAAAATCAACAACTTAGCCAATGGGAAGAAGGAAGCTGAGAAGTTATTTGGACAGGAAACAGCAGAAGGGGTTGATCCTAAGAAATGTTCAGAGGCTCATGCTGATGGTGGTAAGATGAATTTTACTGCTGATTCCAAGTCAAATTTAATCCCCCAAAGCAGCCAAGAACGGGCTCTGCACTCATACCCAGATCCAGATTTTAATGACTTTGACAAGGACAGGAAAGTAGAGAGTTTTGCTGTTAGGCAGATTTGGGCTGTGTATGATACACTTGATGCAATGCCCAGATTTTATGTTCAAATCAGAAAAGTTTTTTCTCCCAGGTTCAAGCTGCGCATAACCTGGCTAGAACCTGATCCAGATGATGTGAATGAAATCAAATGGGTTGATGAAGGTTTGCCAGTTTCATGTGGAAAGTTCAAATATGGGGATTCTGAAAACACCGAAGATCATCTCATGTTCTCACATTTGATGTATTGGGAAAAAGGAACACAAAGAGACACTTTCAAGGTACTTCCAAGAAAGGGGGAAACATGGGCCCTCTTTAAGAACTGGGATATCAAATGGAACTCTGATGCAGTCTCTAACAGGAAGTTTGAATATGAATTTGTTGAAATCTTATCAGAATATGCTGATAGTGCAGGTATACATGTTGCTTGCTTGGTTAAGGTGAAAGGCTTTGTGAGTCTATTTTGTCGAATGATGAAGGATGGAATTGATGCATTTCAAATTCCACCCGGTGAGCTGTTCAGGTTTTCCCACAGGGTTCCCTCATTTAAGCTGACAGGTACAGAGAGAAAAGGTGTCCCAAAAGGATCCTTCGAACTTGATCCAGCTTCATTGGCTACCAATCTTGAAGAAATTGATGTTCCTGAGGACTCGTGTTCAAGATCTCCAAGGAAAGTGAAACGAAAGATTGGCTCTGGAAAAAGTAATGACAAACAGGGCTTGGAGGTTGGTGATGTTCCCCAGATTTCTGTTGACGTGAATGGGAAGATGAACTCTAGAATTATGGGGGAGAAGGAGATCAATCATTCTGACAGGAGTAATGCAGTTTTACCAGCTAGTGTGGATGTAGATTTCACCTTACATAAATCCCTGAAAGACAAACGTAATCCTTCAGTGTGTATCCCAGTTAACTGTGTGACACCCATCAATGCTGCATCCCCTGTCTGTATGGACAATGAATATTTAACACTATCATGCAAGAAAAAGCTGTCAAGAACTTCCCTCTTGTTTGAGATCCAAAGCCATAACCCCTCAGACTTGGAGCCTATTTCTCCACTTAAAGGTACAAGAAAGGGGAGGGATTTGGCAGATATTCGGGTCACGTTTAGTGACCATTTGGATGATAACATAATTAAACAGCAGAGAAAGGTTGGCATTTTTCATATTATTATTCTTTTGGAACATACTAGGTGGTCTAACAATCCTAATATGTTAATCTTGTCTCACAGATTTTGGTCAGCCTAGGGATTCCTGAAGTCTCTTCTATTATAGATGCAACACATTTCGTAGCAGATAAATTTGTGCGCACAAGGAATATGTTAGAGGCAATGGCTTCTGGCAAACTCGTTGTTACACATCTATGGCTTGAGCGTGTTGGACAGGCTAATAGACATATAGATGAGAAAACTTATATACTGAGGGACATCAAAAAGGAAAAGGAGTTTGGCTTCTGTATGCCTGTTTCTTTGGCACGTGCACAGAAACATGGCTTATTAGAGGTAAGATTTTCTATGTTTCATATGTTTCAGTTGCCACCTTTTTCACTTATGGTATCAATATGGTGCTTCCTTGCAGGGCCGAAGGGTTTTCATCACTCCAAATACAAAACCGGGTAAAGACATAATTTCAAGTTTGGTAAAGGCAGTTCATGGCAAGGTATGTTGTCTTCTCCTTGAAAGTAGCTTTTAATGGAGAAGTTTATTATTTTATTGAGAATATATTGATGCGAAAGCTAATTGTTGCATGGATGGTTTCATAACATATATTTCTGGTGGAAATATCTCTATTGTTTGCAATTGCACATGAATTGGCATCTATTTTTCAAATTTTCCTGTTTTATAATCAGCTGCTGGCTGCCTGCGACTTTGCTTGAAGTTTATAATTTTCCATTGGTTCTAAAATTTTGTCTGCTAAGTTCTCTTTCTCTGCACTAATTTCCTGTTATTATGCTGTCCAGGCAGTTGAGAGAATCGGCAGATCTGTCCTGAAGGATGATAAAATCCCAGATGATATGTTGGTTCTATCTTGTGAAGAAGATTATGCACTTTGTGTGCCCTTTCTTGAAAAAGGTTAGAAAGATTCACTTAATTATCTCCTTAAATAGCCCATGAAATGCGTACTTAAATAAGAATCCGTCTCTTTATGCATACAGGGGCAGAAGTTTACAGTTCAGAGCTGCTACTGAATGGAATAGTAACTCAGAGGCTGGACTATGAAAGGTCAGTACGTTGTAAAAATATCCCATTCATTCTTCTTTTTAATTGTAGCTTTCCTTGATTGCATGTCTTAAATTGAAGTGAAGTTCCCACTTGTGGTTTGATGTCAAAGTCATAGCCTTCAAGAGTTTCGCTGTTTTAATATTGAGAATATCACATATTTACATTGAGAACCGTTGGAATGGATAGAGTCCTAAGTGAAAGTTGGAACATGTTTGATGAAACTTGTAAGAATTTTTACTTTTTTTATATTGTTTATAAGTGATAAATTTAAATTTTAATTGGAAAAAAAAATTTAAAAGTTGGTTTTAAAAATAAAAAAAAAAGTAAAAAATGAGTAAAAAAAATTTATAAAAAACACAAATTTGAAGTTTTTCAAAATTTATTATTTAAAATTTTTTTAAAATTAAAAGAGTTAAAAAATGTAAATTTTTAAGAGAAAAATTTAAATTTATAAAACATGAATAGTATCAAAAAATTGAACTTCTTACAAGTTTCACCAAAATGCTTTTAATTTCCTTCAGAAGAAAATCGTGATTTATTTAACTAGCAAATCATGGTATATGCCATACTGATTGATACAACGACGGACCTGTGCTATATGTTGATTTCTGAACACTCAGTATCTCTTGATTACAGGCATTGCCTCTTTGCGGAGCAAGTTAAGAGAACCCGCTCTACCATATTTCTGAAAAGCAACGACAAGTTCCTTCCTGTAACGAAGCTTAAATAAAACCTTGTGCATTCATTTTCTTTTCCAATTTTCATCTTACCATCTCTTTACTGTAATGTTGTCTTATATATGGTTACCTTTTTAACCAAATGCAACAGAAACAGCAAAATGTCAAACAACTGTCCAATGTATATGGCAGTAAAACAATAGTACCCTCTATATATACTACCATGTCATGTGCAAAAATGTAGTGAACTAGACCTTTCATGGATTGATTACGTTTGTGCAAAAGAAACTATGTACACCAATTCTTCCACAAACAACTTGCGTAGGCGGGGTCTTGCATCGTGCTATGCATTGTGCTATCATACTGGGTTATTGGTGCGGTTTAGGGCGACCTGAACTCTCCAAGTAAAATACTGGATATACAATGAATTAAGTGTCATGGACATCCCAAAACCAAGCACCGCTGAAAGTAGTATTGCATAAATAGCCTTCAGATGAAGCTGCAGAATACATAAAAAGGTCTCAATTAAAACTGATTAACGAAGCTGGTTTCCAGCATGATTTTCAACAAGCAGAGCAAACTACTACCATATACTGATGAGACAAACCCCTAGGCTGAGCCTGAGACTATCCTTAACCCTAAAAGGGAAAGTTGACCTCCAATTTTCTCTAGGCTGAGCCTTGGATCATAAGAAAGGGGCTAGATTCCAGGAGTGTCCTAACCACTACCATATACCAATGAGAAAAAACAAATTCAGGCATGAATAATGATTCGACTTCCATTAATCCATTCTAACAAGAATGACAATTTGTGATCACAGCAAACAACTATATACAGACAAACATGCTGGCATGTGTGCCTCTGCATGGAATGATGCAAGTGGCATATTTTATCATCAAATTGCTAGATAACATTGCTCACCAGAGAATAAAATAGGTGGACGATAATTGCCACTAGTGCAAACTCAAGAGCTGCATATGTCCATATGTACTCCCTGATAGCTGTGAGTCAAATCAAAGCCAATGTTTAGAGAAACACAACTCATACAGGAAATTTTGATCTCAGAGAATCAACTTATACCAAGGATGACAGCAAAGATGGATGCTAAGAGGCCAAGGGTCAGTGCAAATGGAGCTGCAAGGATGATTGCTTGGGTCTTCATTTTTTGAATCTACAAAATAATTAGGCAAAGGATTAATGCTGCCATGCCAGCCATGGTGATCAAGATTGGACTTTGTTTTAAACCTTTTTGCACATTACAGACTTACCAGTAGCTGCTCCAGGAAGAAGAAATAGCATATTGTGCTTATTAAGACAAGAACCACAAAGTCCTGCCATTGTCTGTTTGAAACATGCATACTAATTAGACAAAATAAAGGGATGGTTCACAGGGAAATTAATGCTGTATGATTAAGCAGTAGCTGTTTGAGTCCACTTGAAACACAGTTCACCTTAAGAGCATATTAAGTGTAGATGAAAATATTAGTGGTTGATATTACCTTAAAGATTGTGCTTGTGTATTCTGCTGATTTTGGTTGTGTCTGTCACCCACTTGAGCAGCACTAGGCACCCGAAGCAGTGTCACAGGTAAGTTCTGAACCTCTTGCCCACAAACTTCGCATTTCTTGTTTCCTCTTGTACTAAACCATTTAATAGCACAGTCTTGATGCATGAGTCGGAGGGCACCTTTGCAGCTGCACTCCATTTTGAGCGTATTGTCCTCTTGACATACATCAAAACAGATCCTGCACACAGCTTCCTCTTCAGGAATCTCTTCATCATTAGTTTCTGTTGGAACAGAAACTATTTGATCTGCATACAGATAGTTTACAGATACATGGAGTAGAAGATCAAGAACTAGAGAATAGTTAAAAATTTTGATCCAACAGTCACTTGTATCTTTGCCAATTTTTTAGCAGTGCATATGCGATCTAGAATTCAACATTATGATTAAAGATAAGAAAAGATATTAACAAACCAAGCCAAAAATAGAAAACCACAACTTAACTTTATGTAGTTTAATCATAATATAAAAAACTAAGCCTAACACTTGATTTACTTTCTACAATGACTCGCACAAAAAATACAAGTAAAACTTTTTCATTTTCACTTTTCACCTCACCCTTTTGCCTTACTTCATATTTTTCAAACGGAAATTATAATCATTAAATGAAATTCAAGTGAAATATTAAAATGTTATATTAAATAAAAGAAGTTCTGTTAAAGATCTTTTAATTTTTTTAAAATATATTTATTATAAGATCATATGTTGGTTAAGCTTTAATTGTAATGAAAAAACTGATCTAAAATGTTAAACAACTTAGAATTTGAAACTAATCCCTGAATGTAGAAAGAACCTAGAACAACAGTCACAGAGTATTGTCACATACCATCACTATCATCTGTTGGAACATGATCTTTACGGGTATCAAAAGATACAGATCTTACTATGACCATATTTCGCCCAGGCACAGACAGGGACCTTGAGACCACAGCATTTGCTGCCCCTTTCTGCAAAAAATCAACCATTGCCATCACAAAGAAATTTTTAACAATCTCTTTCTCACCATTGACACGGAACTCCTTTCAGTTTATCATAATCCATGGATAAATCAAGGATTGCTGAAAGGATAATAATGACCTTTGTTATACAGGGTAACATTCCTACTTCCTAATGTATTCATCTTTCATTCATACCAGTTCAACAGGAGGAAGTATAAAATTAGATGTAGGATATGCAATTAAGTTTTCATTTGTCAGGAAAAATAGAAAATTGTGTTTTGACAAAATTTCATCATATATTCTGTTCTATGATAGATTATCCTGCAACACTCCTTCCTTTTTATTCTGAGCAATCAAGTTCCACGAAACAAACCACTTAGTATGTGAAGTTTCTTATGACACCACATCAGAATAAACTTTAATATGGAAAATTATAAACCATACAAAAGCACAGCAGTAACTCACATTTGATTTTTGCTGTTCAGCACATGTTCTTGCAGAAGAAGGCATAGAAACCGAGGGTGACAAGTTTGATGCATGAGTAACAGGAAGGGACGCACATCTTTGCCAAGAAAACGAGGAACTAGGATTTTCTGGAGTTGCCTTGGAGTCCGAATTGAGGAGGAAGCTTCTCTCACTATCAGGTAAAGCACCCTTCTTCTTGAAGCTTAAGCCACGCAAGAAACCTCCTGATGATGAAGCACCTTTATAGGAACCTTGAGACTGGAGTAAGCCCTTTCCACTACGACTACCACCACCAAATCCTAGTGGTCTAGGGGGTACTTGAAGCGAAAGATCAGACCGCTTCCCACTTGCTCCTGGTTTTGAAACTTTCTCATTTGAGGCTTCCACAGTTTGCACATCAGCCTGCATGTGGGGAACATTTCAGCACAAAAAGTGCAACATCAACACAAATCATTGGACTCTTCACACAACAGATCATAACCATGAAATTTGCTTTTTCTTCTTCTGAATGAATTATCAGATGATATTACTAATTACTTCCAGTATATCTTGACAGTTACAACCAAACTTAGGCAAGGAAGCCAACCAAAACCCAGATTTCATCTTATTTATCCTCAGAATTTCTAAACATAGGACAACTGAAAATGGTGGCTGCATACACCACAAATCTGCTCCCCAAAACCTCTCAATTTGAAAAATCACGCCACATTTTTAATTAGTTTGCTAAATTCTTACACATTAACAATAAAAATCGAAATTTCCTTAATCCAGCTTTAGTGAAGCATATAAAATTGAAAATTTTTTAACAACAATAGGTTGTATAAATAAAGAATAAACCCAGAATTAAAAAAAAAAAAAAAACTCAAAGAACAGCAGAACCCAGTTAAATTGATGAACAAAGATCAGAATCCTCTAGTCGATTTCCAAGATCCAACAAATCCAAAGTGAAAAGACCATTACTTTGCGTAACAATCAGCAAAAAGGGTGAAGAGAGAAACCTGAGCAACTCCATTGGTGGCAGCTTCAGTTGCTTGCATTATTCTTGTGCTTGTGGAGAGTATCCAAACAGCAGGAACCCCAACAAAAAAAAAATAATCAATCTAGATTGAACAACTTCCTCCAACTTCAAGATTTCAGATTTCTGGTACCCAGAGAAAGGACCAAGAAAAATACAGGGTGGGAAAGTAACCAAGATATTTCATTTAAGAAAACAAGTATGTGCAGGAAGAATAAATTCTAGTATCAGTAATTTCCATTCTTTTTCAGGATTTGTCTAACTGTAATAAATGTAAGATTTATGATTGCACCTGGCCTAACAGCATTAGTGCCTAGTTTTAGATAATGGGTTTAAATTTTCTGCTTCAAATTTGAACTTATTAAAAAATATATATTATTTATAATTAATGTAATTTATATAAAAAATAATGATATATAAATAATTTTTTTAAATAGTACTTAATAGTTTTGATTGAGAAAATATATAAATAAATATGTTAATTTTATATTATTTTATTTAAAAACATTAATTTTATCCATTTTCAAAAAAATATATCAATTTTTTATTTTTTATTTAAAAATTTTAATTTTTAATATTTCGGATAAAAGGTTTATTCATTATTTTAGCATCACCTTGTAATTAAACAAGTCGTTTTACTCTTTTTTTTTTTTTTTTGGCAGGGAAGTTGAGATTAGAGATAATATGCAAATAATATATCAACCTTAAGTATATATTTGGATTGAGAAGAATAGAAAAGAATGGAAGAAAGGGCAAGGAAGGGATAATAAGTCAATAAATTAAGAGAAAAAATAAAAT